TACTGACTTGCAAACCATTGAATAGAAAAATAAACTTTACTTTTTAGGGCCCAAAATGCTATGAAATGAAGCTCTGAAAATGCGACCTAACTGCAATGGTGAAATAACCAAAGTTCTATGTTTCAAGTAGGAGTTTGTGAAGATAGAAGCTAAGAGCTGTTTTTGGGTGAATGATAATATAATGTAAGACAGTTCTCAAGAGGTAAATGCATTAATAATAAGGTAGAAACTTGAGACGTGTCACAGATGTTCGCATGTTTGGGAAAACATGGAACCTTCCTTAAGCAAAGTAACACACGTAAACATAGTGCCTAAAATGCGCTCGATCTGATGTACGTCCTCCTCTGCCTCCATTTCTTATTTCCTAAGTAGTGAAAACAAGAAAAGAAAGATTTGGGACCTTGTGATTCCTCTAATACTTCATTGAATTGAAGCTGGGTTGTCAGGAAACTACTATACAAAAAAGAACTAACATTTATCGAACCTGGATATATCCTTTTAGGAATGGGTCCCACAAACATATATTTACTAAGCATCTGTTTTATTCCAGGCACTTTACTTTCTGTCAGTAAATTTATCTTGTGTCAATTTCATTTTATGTTCACAGCAATCCAGTCTCCATTTTGAAGACGAGGAACCAGAGAATGGGAAGTTAAAACTTTGCCTAGCATCACATAGCTGCTAAAATAGCCAGGTAGCTGTTCCAACCCCAATTGCATTCTTTCTTAACCTATTCAACCCTTAAAATGATCATAAAAGTCATCAAAGGGCAACAGTGATGTCACAGGTAGGCGGTGCAGGAAGACCCACCCAACAGGTTTGCCTTGGGGGTGGGTGATGTAGTCCAGCTTGCTCTCATTCCTAAGTGCCTTTTGGTGAAACAATAACACTATTCCTTTTCTTGCAAAGATAACACTAGTTGAATAGCAGAACATTCAAACATATGGACAAGTAAAAAGAAGAAAATAAAACCACCTAAAATTTGCCACCCTGAGATAATTAGGATTAACATTTTTATTCTTTCTCTAATGCTTTTTCATGTTTCTACTTTTATACTATTATGTTCATATAAGCATACAGTATATTTTACAAAAACAATCATAATGTGCATATTTGAGGTTACAAACTGATTCTTGCCCATTCAAACATTACATGTGAGAGACGTTTTTCTGACTTAAAATGATAAAGATCAGATATTAAAACAATATTTTAATAAACAATCCTATTTGCATTAAGGAAAGTATTATGATATTTATTAGATTTATTAAAAGTACCAGAAGAGAATATTACATGTTTTTTATACCTACTCAAGAAATGTTAAATTAAATAATAAGGATGCTAAATGCTTTTTTTATTACTTCTAAAATAACATTCATTATGTGAAGCATAATAGCCTAATCTCACACAAATCTGATGTCCAATATTAATGTCAGTACTGAAAGGGCTGGATAAAAAACATCCAAATGTATTCAAATTTGAAACTGGAAATTTTGTATCACTTCAATCAGCAATAAAGGGCACCAAAGTAATTTCTTTTCAGACATTATGAGACCTCAAATTACCTGGCATTGCACAAGCCTGGCTGAGAAAAACTATACTCAGAACATTGAGAGACATGCCACCATCTACTCCTCGAGGGCACTGGGGCCTATCTTTGTTTCACATAGAACTTTGGGCTATAATGTATAAATACGTTACCAGTGTATACTTACATCTTGAAACTTTCCCTGGCTTAAGGATCCTTGTAAGAAGCCAGTATATGAAATTCACTCCTATGTTTACTATAGAAATCCTACTGAAGGGTTGGCAGGTGGCATGGTGGTTAAAGGCACTGGATTCCCACACAGTTGACTGGGGTTCGAGTCCCAGTCCTGACAACTTGCTTTCTTACTTTCCCTTTCTCTCTCTCTCTCTGGTCAAATTAAAAATCAATAATAATAATAATAACAAATGGAATTAAATAAATAAATAAATCTGTAAAAATTTAAAAAAGAAATACTACTGAATACATGTCTAAACTTTTAGATGCCTCCAATATTAAAATCTTTGAGAGGATTTACTTTAGATTACAGTGCCAAGAAAAACTGTCTTGCTGAGAAATATGCTTCTTTCTTTATCATAATAATAGTGATTTTTTTTAGCTGTTGTAATTCTTAACCTCCTTATCCTCATCCAGGAATCTTAGAGCCAAACGTGATGCCAAATCAAATAAATTATATTAATTATTTTTAAAATAATTACATATTTAATTTATTATTATTATTATTTAATTTGCTAAAGGGCACTTGTGTTCACCAGAAACAGACAGAGAGAGAGAGAAAGAGAAAGTGAGAAAGCAAGCTGCCAGGTCTGGGACTTGAACTGTGGTCAGCCATGTAGGACTCCAGTGCCTCAATTGCCAGGCCACCTGCTGGTCCCTATTAATGCTTAATATAAGCATATGTGCATTTTTCTCTTTCTTGGTTTTTGTTTTCTATTTCCATCTTATTACCCTCATTTGTCATATTTGTATAGAAAGGACAATTCTTCCTTATTTATTTTCTCTCTTCGAAAGTTAAAACAAACTTGTTTGTTTATTTATGTAAAGGAATGTAACACTATGAAATATTGTGTTTTTCATTTCAATTTGTTGTGTGTGTGTGTAATCTTATAAGATTCTGTATTGATCCTTGGAATTGAGAAAGTGCATCATGATGTAGGTAGGAGTGGTTCTCTTTTTAATAATCTTGACTGGCCACAAGTAAATCTGCTTGACCTGAAGTTTAAAACTTCTCTTCAACTCAGAGAAATTTTCTTCAATTATTTCTTCGATGATTACTTCCCTTTTGTCTAATTTATTCTCTCATGAAACGCTTTTTCTTGGACTTAAACACTTTTCATATTAAATCCATAGGATTTTCCTGGAACTTTCCAAGTTTTAATGCAAACCAGGACAGTCAGTGAACCTACCATTAGCTAAGCTATTTGAGTCTCTGAGGACAGTGGTGTTCAAACTATTTATAGTGACAGAGGAGTTTCTTAACATTCTTTTTGACAAATCCATTGTGGGCTGATATTTTGCAAAAAGAAATAAAAATAAATACAACAAAAATGAAACAAAAATACACACAGGCTTGGCTACTGTGGTACAGTGGTAATGTAAGTGCCCTGCAAGACTGGAAGCTATATAGTCCTCCATAGATGTGTATCCCGGAGTTTGTATACAAATATACTAGGTATGCACGTGGGCATTCAGGATCCTGAGGAGCTGGAGGGTGGGGGGGAGGAGATAACAGTGCAAAGAGACTCTGTCTAGGGTGCCTCTCTCTCTCACACATGCGCGCTCCATCATTACAAAAAAGCACAGGGGCCAGCAGGTGGTATAGTGGTTCAGATGTTGGATTCACACACCGGAGTTTGTATACAAATATACTAGGTATGCACGTGGGCATTCAGGATCCTGAGGAGCTGGAGGGTGGGGGGGAGGAGATAACAGTGCAAAGAGACTCTGTCTAGGGTGCCTCTCTCTCTCACACATGCGCGCTCCATCATTACAAAAAAGCACAGGGGCCAGCAGGTGGTATAGTGGTTCAGGTGTTGGATTCACACGTACCTGACCGTGGATTGAGTCTCAGACTGAGAGACTTGAAATTCACACTGCACACATGTTCATGTGTGGCCAAAGTTCCAAGAGGAGAATGCAGGAGAAGGGACTGCAGCATGGCCATTCCTCTGCGGGAGGAGAAGTTATGATTTCTCACTTTCTTTCTTTCTCTGTGTCTCTAGTGAGTGCATGTGGCCTATTACAAAACACACACTCACACACACAACATATAGAATACAGGCCTAAATTTTAAAAGTATGACACATATTCTGTCAATTTTGCGCTGACAGCTTTAAATATGTACTCTCTGTTTCTATTGGTAGCTTGTAAAATCTACTGTCTCCTAGTGGACTGCGTTTCCGTCGCCCTGCCCTAGTATTTCTCTAATCTGCTCTGATAATCCCCTCCATCTCCTCCACCCCACATTCCGTTCTCCAGCCTCTGCTAAATGCCTCTTTTGTGTTCGGCTCCCCCATTCCATTAAACCGTGTACTTCGAGCAGGAATGGAGTCTTATTTATCTTTCCATGTGTGGCACTGACCGCACCACCAGGCAAGGAGTTCATTGGCTGTTAGTCATTGAGTTTTACTGGGACTAGAATCAGTTATAACAGTTCTAGTTATGGCTATTTTGGGGGAGAGTGGGATTGTGGGGGCTTTCCTTGTTTTTTTTTGTACTTTTCAGCATTTCCTAAACTTCTTTGAACACACATGTATTAGGAATGGGGAAACTAAAGTATTATTTTGACAACTGATCTTGTAGAATAAATGCTATGTACTGCTTTACAACTCATAGTCAGTAAAAAAGTCCCCTTTTACCACGTAGTTGAATTGTAGGACAGAGGCCAGAGTGTGTGAGAAAAAGAAAATGCTCAAGAATCTCTGTCATGGTTGAGGAACAGAATCTCACTCTCATCTTATTTAGACTGAGAAAATCATTAAGAGATTTAAGGGACTAGCTTTAGAAGACAGGACATTTTGTATAAGTTTTCCCCTAACAATAGAGGATGCAAAGTGTTTCTATATTATATCCTTTTTCAACCAAGCTGTGATATTGTAATGTTCAATAACCACCTCGTGTGCATTATTCAGACACTGGATTAACTGGACGTGACCATTTAAACTATGAGTGATGGGGCCCCGACTTCCCTTCTCAGACGTAGCACTGTTTGAACTGGCAGTTAATCACAGCTTAAAAGTGACTTATCTGTAACGTACAATATGACTAATTTAGCAGCTAAGCAGTTTCATTGTGATCTTGGTGTCAGTGGAATTCCTGTCACCTATCCAACAGTTAAGTCATATTGCATAACTGTGGGCTGACATCACTGTGCTACAAGATTATTGGCTCAAGACAAGAAAAAAAGTTTCCTGGACTCTGAGCTTTTCCGGTATCTGAACAAACGACTTGTGCTGTTACTGCAGTCCAGCCGGAGTGCAGAGTGAAATGCAATTTGAAGAGGCTGGCTTTTGGTGTGTCACTGAAAGCCACTGAGTATATGGGCACGGGGAGACCGTTCAGTGTGCCTAAGGATGAGCTCTCGTCCCTTGGTGGGGGACTGCATGATGCCAGTCAAGGTGTGCAGAGAGAGGGCATTAATTTCTCTGAGAACTTTACAGTTTTTGCTTCAGAAGGAATATTTTTAAACATGCAGTTCACCATCTGCTACATGCATCGAGACTGAAGAGCTGGTCAGCTGGGACTTAGCTGGAAACCCTTTACTGCTGAAAGCTTGGATCATTTCCAAGGGGATTCAGAATACGTAAACCTTAATTTTATGTGATTGTATAAAATATTGAGTTTTAAAATGACCCACAGATATGCCTAAACACTGGAACAATGACTGATTGGAATGTGTGGTAAAAGACAACATTTATCATTTATTATTTACCGGCAGTTTGCTGAGTAATTTACAAAAATTAATTAATTTAATCCTAGGAAGTACCTACTATTTGTTGTTTGATTTTTCCTTTGTTTTTCATTTGCCAGAGGGCACATGCTCCTTCAGGAGAGAGACAGGGGGGAGACAGAAAGAGAGAAAAAGTACTCCCTATGGAGAATTGTCCTGCTTCAATTCCTTTTTCTCCATTTCTTCCTCCTTTTGGGATTTTAGGCACACACATCCTGCATCCAGCTTGTTCCTCACGCCTCTGAATCTGGGACTTAAACTGCACAGTTGACTAGGTAGGACTCAGCCACCTTCATCGCCATTTCAGTGACCGGCCCGATAATATTCTTGTCTCCAAGTTACAGACGAAGGAATGTAGACTCCGAGATCACACAGAGGGAAGCCAGGATCTGAACCCAGGTAATCCATCACCGGAGCACACAGCGCTGCTTTTCCCTGCACCTTTTGTTATTACAATAACAACGGCAACCGTTATTACTACTGCTGCTACTTCCATCCACCAAGGGCTCTTTATGTAACAGGCCCTCAGTTGTAACCATTGGATCCCTCCATCAGCTCCGTATGATAGAAACTGCCGTTGTTGTATCCATTTGGTAGATTAGGAAAGTGAGGCACAGAGAAGAAAATCAGTCATGCAGAGAGTAGACGATGAAGCAAGTGTTCAACCCTCGTCCAGAGCCAGACTCCGTGCTTTTACTCCTGCTTTTTAGTTTTAGAGAGAGATTTTTTTTTTTTTTTGTATCAAGGTGTGTGCCCTCGCTGGAGAGACAGAGAGACAGAGAGATAGAAAGCAAGAAATCACCCCCCAGGAGGAATGGCCATGCTGCAATACCTTTTCCTCTATTCTCCTCTTGGGATTTTGAGCATGTATGTACATGCTCCTGGCATGAGTTTTAAACTGCCAGGTCCGGGACTCAAATCATCATCAACTACGTGGGAGTCCAGCAACGTAACCATTAAGCCATCTATTGGTCCCTACCATTGCTTAATAGCTGCTACTTATTATCACATAATGTGTAGTCTTCCCAGCAATCCCGCACTGTAGGTCTTACGATTCCTGACTTATAGATGAGAAAACTCAGGTTCTGAGTCACTGAATCATTTGCCGGCTTCTAAGTGGCAGAGCTAGAATTCTTCTAGGTCCATAGGGCTCCACCACATGGTACTAGCTCTCAAAAATCTGAAGTTGTAATTCAGATGCAGGATGACAGACTACGTTAGAGAAAGGGCTGGTATCCCAGGAGTCACTGAGCGTGAGGAGAGATAGCTTGGTCTGGATATCTCCAGCGTGGGGCCTGTTAAAGAGATGCCAGGAGGGGCCTGGAAGTCTGTAGTCACCTAGGGTGATGCACTGTTTGCGGGGCACCCTTTCTTGAGTGCACGTTTTCCATTGTGCATTTTGGGTGTTCTGAGTTAGTCCAAACACCCTTCCTTTCTTTAGTTCCCTTTTTCTTTTCATTCCCCTTGATATTTCCAAAAGTACACTCCTCTGCCCTCCTTTGGCCAGTCAGAGGCTCACACATGCTCAGTTCTCTGCCTTGTAAGGGCTTCCTCCCCACCCCCAAGCCTCCTCTCATTTTGTAGCACATATTCAGTTCTCTGGAATGCGGCCACCCATAAGCATGACACACATTTTCAAAGGAGTTTAGAAATGCATGTGATTAGCAAATTTAATTTTCTTAAAGGGGTAGTGTATCAACACCGTACATGTGCAACCTGTTAATTTCACAGTATGGGTGTCTGTCTTCAAAAGGGTAATAATTTTAAAAATCTGAAGTCACAACAAAAAGCAAAAACAAACAAACTGAAAACAAAGATTGAAAAATAGTTTGAATACTTTCTAACTATTTATTTTATTTCAAGAATAAAGAGCCCCTGCAATGAATTGAAACTTTTATTCTATGAAAGGAAATCAAACTAACCATTTATTCATTAAAGGAATATTTACTTTGGGAAAGTAGAGAATACAAATATGTATGACAGATCTTGCATGTACCCAAATACTTTAAAAATGAGGCCAAATATTCTAAGAGTAAAGCTATTGCAAGATAAGATGTCGAGTAAGAAAGTCAACACTGGACTGAATGACCAGTGTCTTCTTGAAGTGTGGGCTGGAGCTAGAAGAACTGGTAGAATTACGGTAGGTTGACATTAGATGTTAAGGAAAGGACAGTCCATGCAAGGACTGTTGTACAGTGCAATAGTGTGAGACATAAAGACAAGCCTGAGGAACTAGCAGTTAGCGTAATGGCTATGTAGCTGGGCTCCCATGTAGTCAACCGCAGCTCAAGTCCCGGACCCAGTGGCTTAAACTCACGCCAGGTGCGTGTGTGTGCGTGCCCAAGATCCCAAGAGGAGAATGGAGAAGAAGAGATTGTGGTGTGGCCATCCTCCTGGGGGGTGATTTCTCGCTTTCTGTTTCTGTCTTTCTGGAGAGAGCGCATGCACCCTATAGCACAAACCTCTCCAAAAAAAAAAAAAAAAAGACAAGACTGAGAGCTTATGCCATGAATCTTATGAATCTTTCTCTAGGGTACCTGGCTATTAAGTCACATGAATCTTCTATAAACATCTCCAGGGATAGTCAGTTATTTGTTCTGCTTTTATATCAGTGAATAGGGTGTAGTGGAAATTTGTGTCATCCCAAATTTAGAAAAGAAAAGGCCTTAACATGTTGATGTGCTATGAACTGGCCATTCTCTGGACACCTGAATCTCTCCTGGAGAAGACGAAAGAAGATACAGCACTGGAAAAACTCAAGGGCATCTAGGTGTGCTCATCTAAAACTCACTCTGGGGCCCAGCAGGTGCCATCGGGGTTGGGGCACTAGACTCCCATGTGGTCAACAATGGTTTGAGTCCTGGACTCAGTGGCTTGAAACTCACACTGGGTGCATGTGAGGGAGCCCAAAATCCTGAGAAGAAAATGGAGGAGAATAGATTACAATGTGGCCATCTCCCCTGGAGTAGGGAGTAGTTGATTTCTTGCTGTCTGTCTGTCTGTCTCTGGTGAATCCATGCACCCTATAGCAAAAATCTCTTTCAAAAATAAATAAATAAGTAAATAAATAAATAAATCTCACTCTAGTAACTTTCAGTGGACAGAGTCCACTTCTGGGTCATCTGACCCCAGTGACCTCACATCAGTTACCCCATCTTTCCTGCTCTGAGTTTATATTTCCCCCAGATGACAAGGTCCTTCTATTCAGACACTGATTAATGTGTGGGAACCTTTCTCAAGTGCTATTCGTGGTTCTAATCAGTGTCTGGGATAGCTTTTTAATAGCCAAGACTGCCTTTAGACAAATGAGTTACTTCTGGTTCTTCAATCATTAAGTGCGTTGGGATGTCATCTGGAAGAGTTGCTTCATTCATTCCTTAGCCAGACAGTGAATGCGTTCCTATTGTGGTGGTTAACTTAGAAGAGGACTCCAAGTGATCCATGCCTCCTGGTATGCATGCCCTGTGTAGTGCGGGGTCAGTAGAATTTAGCAAAAATGATGGCACCACATGTAAGAGAGAGAGTGAGCAACCCCCAGTGGGGCTGGTTACACCACAACCCTCCCTCCTCGAATTCTCCATCCTGTCCAGGCCCTGGGCACCTGTGCACATGCAGGCACTTTACTGGGACCTTACTGGGACACCACAGCTGGCCGGGTGGGATCCAGTCTATTCTACAAAGTGTTCAACCACTTCACTACAGGGTTGGCCCTAAATTCTCATTTTGAAATAATTTCAGATTTATAAAAAGGTGCAGAAATGGTACAAAGAATTGTACTAAGAGTATCCTAACTTCTTCTCAACTTCTTCAAATGTTAACGTTTTATATAACCACAGTACAATTTTTAAAAAAAAAATCAAAGTCTCATTATGTGGTGGTATCTGTCCCTTAGCCTCTCAGGTAGCTGGGATTCCAGGTTCACACCACTATGCCTGGAATTTTGGGTTGGGGAGGAAATCAAACCTGAGCCTCCCAGGTGGCCTCAGCAGAGATGTAGCGTCAGTCAGCATGGCTAGCACAGCTGGGCCAACCACAGAGCAATTTTAAAACTAGGACATTAACATTGACGCAACTGGTTTGCCTAATCTGCTAACCTTACTCACATTTCCCCAATTGTCAGATGATTGCATTTTTTTCCTGGTCTAGGATCATAGTCATATCTCTTTAGTCTCCTTTAATCTGGGACAATTTCTCAGCCATTCTTTGTTTTTCACAACCTTGGCTCTACTGAAGAGTACTACCCAGTTATTTTGTAGGAGGTATATATTTTCTTGTCAACTTCAGTATAGCTTATCTGATGTTTCCTCATGATTATATTTACATTTTCAGCAAGAATACCACAGAAATAATGTGGTATTCCACGGTGCGTTATATGGGAAGTCACATGGTATCGATAGGTCTCATTGTAGTGCTATTTACTGGGTTGTTGGAAAAGTTCATGACGTATTTTTCTACTTTTTTAGAGAGATTTTTGTTATAGGGTGTGTTCACTTGCTAGAGAGACAGAGAGAGACAGAGAGACAGAAAGTAAGAAATCATCCCTCATGGGGGATGGCCATGCCGCAATTCCTTCTCCTCCATTCTCCTCTCGGGATTTTGGGCATGCACATACACATATGCCCAGCATGAGTTTCAAGTCACTGGGTCTGGGACTAGAACCATAGTCAACTATGTGGGAGTCCAGCAACGCAACCATTACACCATCGGCTGGTTCCCATGGTGTGTTTTTCTATGCAAAAATGCATCATGACTTTCCTGATGACCCAATATTTTGGTAACTTGGCCAAAGTTGTTTTTGCCAAGCTTTTCCATTATAAAGTTATTATTATTATTATTCTATAATTAACAAATATCTTGAGAAAAGACACTTTGAGACTATATGAATTTCTTCTTTATAATCAAACTTTCAGCCAGTAATTTTAAAATTATGGAATTAAAATTACTGATTGAAATAATGATTACTATGTCTTGCCAAATGGTGAAAATCAAGAGCTTTTTAATTATCCTGTCTAGTGGTTTTAAAATATATTTGCAAATTTTTGATACTACACCCTTAAAAAAATGGGACCTGGTTCCCCTCCGTGTGTGTATGAACTGTACTTGTGCCTCTTCTCCAATGAATAGAAATGGCAGAAGTGATTTCCAAGGCCAGATCAGAAGAGGCCTTGTGGTTGGCTCCTTGCTCTGTCTCGATGACTCACTTTGGGGAAGTCACCTGCCATGTTGTGAAGACACTCAAGCAGCCTTGTGGGATGTCCATGTGGACAGGAACTTAGGCCTTCTGGCACCATTCAACACTACCTTGAAGGAATATGCATGGGCCACCTTAGTATCCAATCCTATGGCCCCAGACAAGTCCTCAATGCCATATCTCTGGCAGACATTCTGACTGCAGCCTC